CATTTCAGGTGACTACCTCTTGAAGCTCATGGAGAGAATGCCAAGAGTGTGCAAAGCAGTAATCAGAGCAAAGGGTGGCTATTTTGAAGAAACTAGAATATAAAACATGTTTTCAGTTATTTCACCTTTTTTTGTTAAGTACATAACTCCACATGTGTTCATTCATAGTTTTGATGCCTTCAGTGAGAATCTACAATGTAAATAGTCATGAAAATAAAGAAAATGCATTGAATGAGAAGGTGTGTCCAAACTTTTGGCCTGTACTGTATATATATACATACACACCTATTGGCCATTTTCTGTTGATAATGCAGGGAACGTCTCATTTGAATGGGGGGGGGGGGGGGATAATTTCGATACAATAGAGAACATTTGGTTACATTGTAAGCATGGTTCTCTGAGTGAGGAGATTATCTCTCCAGGCTCAAGGCTGCTCGGTACTCGTTCCAATCAATGTTAATCAGTGGGTGCATGTGCAAGGTGGGGCTTTTATAGCCCAGCGCATGCCAGCCACGTAAAGTGGTATATCTTCAAGGTTATTAATTTTCCACGTCGATTACCCCAGATGGGGATCATTTCCAAAGTTATGATAGAGCTATTGAGTGGGGAGATAATCTCCTCACTCAGAGAACGAAGGTTACAATGTAACCGAATGCTATGTTTCCACTGCAGACAGTTTTTAGCCATTCATGCAGGCTATCAAGAAGGCTTCAACACTAAGTGCATTTTGAAAGAGCGGGAATGGAGCCAGGAAAAAAGCAGGTTTTGCCCATACTCTGAATTGGAATTGTGGTTACAAGAAACTGTAGTTGCATGCTGAGTTCAGTTGATTTTTTAACTGCTGGGGAAACAAGCTTGATTTCAATTCTGTATGTTAATTGTATTGCTTAACTGCGGTTTCTTGCTTGTGATAATTAGACTTGCACCAATTTATCAGCAGTGCTCGGAATCGGGCCGGTTTTCACATGATTGGCCATGACCGGGTTAGTCTAAAATATGCCGATTTAAAACAGCGGTCAAATTCCCGGCGCGCCGCATAATTAACATTGTGTAAAATCAGCAGCGCACACACATGTGCAACTCACGGCTTGGGCGATGTGAGGAAGTTAAACATGGGCGGCTTCTCACCTTAATCATTCACGCACACACATCAAAAGAGAGAAGGAGAAAGTTGTTGATTGTCCGTGTAAAACTGAACTGACGAGGCGTGTGTCCGCATGCCGAAGATGCACGTGTCCGCGTGCTGACTGGCGGGCATGTCCTGAAGACCTGTGTGAATTTTCCACAGGAAATATTTTTACTTTTTTGTCTATTCAAGAAATTACCCACAAATGCTATACACCAAGAATTATATTTTATTTATCGATGTTTTTAATTATGTATGCCTTTTTTACTTAAGATAGAGAATATTGCAATAACTTGTGTGCTGTAAAGTGGTTTGAAAAAAATGAAATCGGAATCGGCCAAAATCGGAATCGGCCATCCAAACGCTCTGCAAATCGGAAATCGGTATCGACCCAAAAAATTGTAATCGGTGCAAGTGTAGTGATAATTGGCACCTGTTTAAGCCATAATCGCAGTCACTCTGCTTTCAGGTTTTGATATGGACAGAGCCAGATTCCACAGAAACAGGTACGGTGACCAGACGTCCCTGATTTCCGGGGACAGCCCCCAATTTGGCTGACCTGTCCCTGGTAAAAGCCGTCCCCGATTTTGACATTGAATGGGGGAAAAATGCGCGCAGACTCAAACACCGGTTATTACGGTAGTCAGTAAATGCATCGCCAGAGAAGGCGTCGTAAGATGTACAGACGTTATCAAGAAGCACGACCAGACACAGCAGCATCAACAACAACAATCGAGAAGCAGCAAAAAGGAGAGAAAAGAAGACCAGCGGCTGTGTTAAATGGTATGTTGTGTATGAACTTATTTATTTTGTGTGAGTTGGCAGTAGATTTGACTGTGTGTGTGTGTGTGTGAAGTGAGGTAACATTCAGTGCGTCTGTTTAATCTGAAGACCTAACGTAAGGTTATAAGAGTCAGTGAACGTTAACATTATGTCACTGTTTTTATATCTGTCATTGGTGAAGCTGTAACATTAGCATGAGATTACCAGGTGATGACATTGTTGTGGCCCTGTTTTAGAAAGGGAGGAGGTGGAAGACTGCTTTGGTAGCATAGGATTTTCCTGGAGGCATAGGGACCTGAGACTGTGTTAAAATAATAAATAAATAAATAATAAGTAAATGGTTAATAGTTGTGTGTGTTAACTGCTGTATTTTGTGTCGAGCTGGCACCAGACAGTGCTGTGTGGGTAACCAATCACTGTAGTAATCTGTAATGACCAAAATATATAGGTATTATATTACCAAAACTGCTATTTCTTTAAGAAACGATTCACTTACTATTGGATCTGTTCTTGCAGTTTTTCTCATGTTCTCCTCTGCTCTTATTCTACCCAGGCTCCTGAGGCGGAGGCTTCGGAGGTGGATGAATGAGGAGATCATGGTGATGTCACCCATTTTTTGATTGCCACCTTTTGTGTCATAAATATCAGTTCAGTATTAATTTATGAGTTGAATCCTTTGACCAAAAAAATCCATCGTAACTCAAGCTAATAAGATTAAGATATTTTTGTCTTCCTCAGTGGATGTATGGTTGGTGATGTCACTCATTTGTTTGATTGCAACCTTTTGAGTAATAAAAGCTGGTCAAAATACATGAAAAATTACTTGTCCCCGTTTTTTATTTCATAATGATAATATTTAATGATTTTTCACCGCTGCACTGAAAATATCCCCAATTTTCATCTCAGAAATCTGGTCACCTTATCAACAGGTCAAGTTGTGCAGCAACATGATGGGCTCCACGTGGACATCCAGCACTTTTTCCTCACTGGAGCTATCCGACACATGAGTCATTTCTAAAATGTGTGTGTTTGTGCATGTTGTAGGTGTCTGGTATAGTGGGCAGAGCTGATGTCTTGGCGTGTCTGCTGTTCTTGCTGACGTTCCTCTCCTACATCAGGTAAGATGACTCCCAGACTTCATACACGCCACACACACTCACATACATA